GAGCCCCGTCCAGGTCCAGTTGGACCAAGCCCAATCAAGCCTGTTCCGTCACACGATCCACTTGATTTCTATGCTGAACGAGACAGATGCCTTCAAGTGAGAGGGTTTTTTCTATTCTATTCTCAAGCAATTACGTTTTTGCATTTTCTCAATAAATTTGTTGCAATGTCCTCGAATTTCCCTGGGGATATTTATTCTTTGCAGGAGAAACGGCTCTTTGAAGATCCACATTTCCCAGCACAGGATAGCTCGCTATTCTTCAGCAGAAGACCACCAAAAATGATTGAATGGCTTAGACCTGGAGTTAGTTGATTTTTGACTTGTTTATTTTCCTTTCTTTGTTGTACCGGTTTTCGTATTTAGCACATTTTGTCGTAGTGAAATAGGCTTTTCCTCACTATGTTGACCCGGTAGTTTCATGAATTTGTTCCAAAAAGTTGATCTTATAGCTTTCATGTTCAAATTTTATATTTCAGGAGATTGTTCGTGAGCCCCAACTCATCACAGAGGGACATTCTCGTTTTGATGTCATCCAGGTAAGTGCGGAAAAATTGCCAAAATTTTTCGTTCGAAACGACAGAGCTTGAGCTTTTACTATTGTTTAGTTGTCTTAACAAATATCTCTTACTACACTAAAATATTTCACTATACTACAAAAGTGTTTTTATCAAATATTTCTCACTATACTAAAAAAATCTTTTTTTATTATCTCTTCCAAAAAGGGTTATCTTGACAAAACAATTTATTGTATTCAAATGAATGACGTTCATGCTGAGTGGCATGAGTACACAAGATACATTTTCTAACCAGGAGGATAATGGTGAGTAAAACGTTGCCTGCCACTCCCCTTTTTTGACTCAGAAAATTTCGACTTGTTGGTGTGGCGGTCACACACTCGAAATAATCTCATGTGCAAGATGTTGATTTGAAAAAAAAGGGTTACTTTTTCTGAGTATTGGTTCTTAGGGTGAACTTGGTGACTGCTGGTTACTAGCTGCTGCCGCTAACTTGACGCTGAAGGACGAACTGTTCTATCGTGTCGTTCCTCCAGATCAGTCCTTTACCGAGAACTACGCCGGTGAGTGGTTTATTTTTTCTTGAATACTCAAATATCTTGGTAAAAATTGTAAAAGTTATGGTGTATCTGTGAATCTTGGAGAATTGTCCAGGACTATTTCTATATTCATAATAGAAATAATTAGTACAGAAGCTGAATGACGCCGAATTAATCCGATAAAAGGCTAGATAAGGAAAGTTCTCAATGGATGCCAACTTATGATCATATTAGTTTGTAAACAAAACGTACAAGAAGTTCAAGCTATCTGCTGGCAAGTAAGAGAGCAAACTGTTTCGATAGCAATCACCAAATGTACTGGTTTTTCTCGATGAAAAAGGGTCTTCTTATAATGTTTATGATATGTGCTAAACTTACAAAAAAAACCAGAGCGAGTTACGAATCGATTCGCAAAAAGAATCTAATTTTCTTTTCAAAAATTTAGATTTTCATCGTTAGTGATTCTGTTCGATTTTTTCCGCCAATTATAGATTTTGATTAGCACCTATTGAAGTCCTAAATATCTTTGGAAATTTCTTTTTATTATTATAATTCGATATGTTCAGGTATTTTCCACTTCCAATTCTGGCAGTACGGAAAA